CATTTTATTTTGGTATACCTTTTCTAGGTACGTTAGCCTGTGACCACGGAAATTGGCCGAGTCAAGTGATGGATTAGTACGGAGAGATTGAGACAGAAGGAGGTACTGGATAGAGAGACCGGGATGGTTTTTAATGTGAAGACAACAACAACAACAACAACATTGTACCTATTTTCGACATTAACAAGCATTTTGAGCCAGTGAATGCGAGAGAGACTGACAGACACATGACGATCCTTGGCGACAAGCTCACAGGACTGCTGCTATCTACCGTACGCATCGCCACGGACGCAGGAAAACGCCACCTCCACCCCGTCCACAAATTTTGGAACAAGATTCGTCGCAAAACAATTCAAGATGTGAAGCCCCGCCCACCTACCCCCACGGTAGTTCAATCTCATGCGCGGGCCCCCGAAGCGGCAGCAGCCGCACCGCACGCGGCCTGCAGCACACGTGTCGTCCCAGCGATATCATGTCGTCCATGGCACGACCACGACCCTGGGAAACTTCGACGTTCGTCCTCGTATTAGGCTCCCTGCTAGCTGGTCGTGGTGGCATTGAGGCAGTGGCTCCATTTCAATCTCGTCATGTGCAGCACACGAGGCGCGGGGGGGCAGGATGGGCATATCGGAGAGGAGGTGCGGCAGCCGAGGCTGCTGCTGCTGCTGCGGTAGCTGCAGAGCTTGCCCCGTGTGAGAAGAAGGAGGCGACGACGACAACGACGACGGCATCATTGCGAGGTGGAGTACAGCAGTCCTCGGGAGTAAAGATTGCCGCCGCGCTGAGGGGAGGACGGTCGATGCGCCAGACGGCAGGGGAGGAGGACGAGGAAAGCCAAGATGACGAGGACCAAGTGGAGGACGAGGTGATGATGACCGGCGGCGAGGAGGATGAGGAGCAAGAAGCGGAGGAGGTCGAATCTGTTCTATACGACGAGAAGGCCGTGGAGTGGATGATGCAGCAGCTGTGCATGTACCAGACGCGCACGGCTTTGATCTCAAACCCTCTAGCAGAAAAGGTACACTCATGAACGACATTTTACACGGTTGATCTTGGGGGCTCAAACAAGCGAATGAAATCGCTAAGTTCGCCGAGTTTACAGCATGCACCTCGTGGCACAGCAGTTACTTCGCAGGGGCAGCGATGCTACTACAGCAGCAGCCACATCATAACGGTGGAACGTTGCCGTGGAGTCGTCTAGATAAAAAGTAAGAGCCCTCGTTTTCCGTCCCCGCGATTTTCTGGGTGGCTGCATCCTTCATCCGTCCTCCATGCTGTCACCTCCCACCCGCTCTGTTGTCGTTTCGGTTCGTTGTGCATGGAGGTACATATCTAGTCACCTCGTAATAGCTCGGTACAGCGACCCATGCACACCAACCATGTTCGAAGTGTGGGTTAGGGTTAGGATTGAGGGCCGGGTTAGGCCTACCGTAGTTAGGCCTAGCGCTGTGGTGTACAGCAACCTCCGGGCTGGAAACCTCCTAATTATCGTGCGCTTTTGTTTCGTGGCTACCTCCAACTGCTGTTGTACACAAAAACTGTTGAACTGGTGGACGCAAGCAAGTCCCCAGTCCTGGAGTACACCCGCCGGTCCAGTGAAGAGCGCTGCCCGATGGTGTGTTTGTGTTTATATGTTTCAACCTAGAATAAAGTCGACGGCTTGGACTACCCACCAATGAAACACGTTCGTCTCAGCGGCATGGAACACAACTATGTCCTGGTCTGCGAAGGCGGGCCGCGTGGAGCCGCGGGAAGTGTATCTGCCTGTACCCGCGGAGGGGGTTTATCTGTCTGTACATTATTGCTGTGTGCTTGTCCCCCGTGTGGATGTACACCTTTGCCGGCCTGGGAAATCCTTCATGCAGTTGATGTGTAAACAGAGCTTTTGCGCGCCTTGGTCAAGCACCGCTACAAGAGCATATTTCCGTGTTTTTTTGTCCCAGGGCTATAAACTGAGGGAGATTGTACCGTCGCCCCGAGGGCTTCTCTGCGCGCTCAGCACGGAGGAGCGACGCATGGACTGTCGGATGTATGTGGAAGCAGAGGTTGGCAAGAAGGCGAGTAGTTGCGGATTCTTCCCCGTAGTGCTGTACGGTTGGTCATGCACAAGCGGTGAGTGAGGGGCGGGTCGGGTCGAAGCAATGTACGTCACGCCACGTCTTACCGCAGCAGATTCTTGCACAACTAGCTGCTTGTGTGTGGCGTGAGGAAGATTGCTCGAGTGGTTTCAAGGTACCTAAGATTTTTCATCGCCTTCCTCCTGCTGTGTGACCCTGCATGTTGCGCCAAACATATGCCGGAAGGTGCAGACTGACCCCCAGTTCATAGTTTTTATCAAGATTTCGACTCTTTTCGCAAAGATGGAAGGGTTCTGGTCTCTCCTTCGATATCTCGGTCGAACTTTTTAAGGTGGTGCTATGTTTTGACAACTCCTAATCGAACCAGCTCTTGCGCGAAAGGTCATAATGTTGCAAAACCTGCATGCACGCAACACGATTAAGTTACCTCCGCCGGAAGCTTATGAAGGAGCGGAAGACGCAGGCAAACACCAAGGGCGTTCCCCTGGCAGATGATTCTCTCTAGACGTGCTGCCTTTTGCAAACTGTAGTAGAGAATGCACCTCAAGTGACATTGCTTGCGGCCGTCTTAATGGCAAGTGTGACGTTTGTGCCCACAGGTGGTGGCGCCTTGCAAATGCAAGGGCACGCAAAAGTGGATTAGTTTTTCGGCGCTGAACTCGGAGAGAAGAAAGGAGGCCACCAAATGGAAGAACTGTCCCACGTGCCAGGTTCGCTGTCGTGCCCATTGTCCGTGTGAAAGAGGTTCTATGTCGCTAAAATATCTCAATGAATGGAATTCGGGCTGGTCTAGCTGTAGAAGGGTTAGCCCTCATGTTCGGCACTGCATGCTTGACAGCGCTAGTTTGTTGCGCCATGAACAAGAAGTTGCTTTTCTCAAGAACCGAACCAGTGTTTCGTCAAACCCGGCGAGAACCGGCAAGAGCTGAGCACTTTATATCCGTATTATGTTTTCGTTGTATTTTTTTTCTTATTGTTGTGTTTGTGTGATTTTTTTTGCATAGATATCTCTGTGTGTGGTTGGGTGTTCGTCAACTCACAGATTCCGCTCTCCGGTCGTGGAATACGCGATTGTGTCACAATTCAATTCAGGGTCCCATCGACTATGCGCTGTACGAGGCGTACGGCGGTGGCGCAGGGAAGGCCGTTTCAGCGATACTCAACAATTCGAGAGCCACACGAATAGCGATTGGCGTTCTCGCGACCATGGTGGTAAGGGCTGTCCCGGTGGGAATAGTTTTTGCAGCGTGTTTTCGACCCATTTTTCCCGCATCATGTAGAAATGATCAGGCCATAACATCGCTTGAACAAATCTCCACGGTGGCTATGTATTCTGTTTTTCACCGATTGGTTGGATCCATTAGATCTGAAGAGATGGAGTCACCCGTTTTTTTTGTCACTGCTCTGGTGCATGTTACTGGCATGTTATCCCCAAACAAACAATGTTTCCCTTCCCACGGCTATCCGTGCCACCGCTGACGTGGCCTCCTTTTGACATCAGTTGTGGCTTCTCAGCCCCCTGCTCCATTTGCTGATCGTACGCGTGCTGACAAGCGGGGTGTTGTGGAAGAACTACCACCGCCTCACGTTCATCGTGAATCTACCGCTGCCGCTCCAGATCATGGGCATCCGGTTCCTCATGACGGTATGAATTGCAGTGATGCTGTTGCCTATCGAACGCTCTCTATTTTGAGTCAACCCTCGCAGTTTTATTTGTCAGGACGACAGTGTGAGAAAATGAAGAGTGCCAACAAAGAAACCCAACTGCGCAGGAAGAAATTCAAAAACAATTAGTCACGTGCTTTCCAGGACGCACTGTCGACAATTGCGACAGGTTCCAGATCTGTGAGTAACCGTGACGTAGCGCATTTTCGGGGCTCTGTTGAAACGCTTTTCTCGCCTACGTGAAATTTACGCATGGTGTTTGGTTGGCAACACAGAAGTGTGTAGTGGTCGGACTGCTGTGTTGCCAACGCTGCCGTTCGTTTTGCCTTTGACCCGTCATCTGTCCTGTCCTGTCTAATGTCAATTTCGCAGTGGACCAACGATCAGCTGCTCTTGGTCGAAAGCATGTTGCGACAGTCTCTGACCGACATAGAAAGCCGGATCCTGGAATCAAGACTGCCAGTGACGGTAGAGGTTCGGGAGGACGGGGATGAGGTTGCTGTGCCGTATCGGAAGCCTTGAGGGGGGTGTTGTGGTTGCACCATCAGCAGAGTGAAGCAATGGCTGTGTGGCTCTGACAAGATTTCCCCGTTGGACCTCATTCGTGCCGCGAGGTGCTTGCTCTTCAGGGTTTGTGGTATCGTTCATTCGTCAAGCCACGGTCGAGTTTTCTCGTGTTCGATGCTCCTGCTGCAGGTCTTCGCTATGACAGGTCGTGTGTCGCCATGCTGGTGCAATAGTTCACGACGAATCTTGCCGCCTCCGTTTGTACGGCGGCTTGAGACATGAGGGGTGTCCTGAACGTCGTGCTTTCTGGATACGGGACAGCAGTGGTGTGTTTGCCCGAAGTTGAGGGTGTTGAACGGCGAGAGGATGGACCGATAGCAAGAGAGGATACCATACATATCGTTTACTTTTCCGCGCAGACCTGTGTGTCCAGCTATTCGTGTTGGACTCTGAGAAACACACAAAAGAGGGCAATGCGGAGCACACACGGGTTGTGTGATATTCACCGCTACGAGCAAACACGGGCCGATAACAGTGTGCACATCTGTCTACAAGAGTTGGAGGTGAACCACAACGAAGGTACAAGGGTTCCTTTTACTGTGAGAGCCAATGGTGCTTGGCCGCGCTGTGTGCGGCCAACAACACTATCGAAGCAGCGAGCGCCTTCTTCCAAGGCTCGTAAACCTATCTAGAAAGAACGCGAAACGATTGATCGGGCAAGAAGAGACGGCGTGGCGACTTTTAACGCCGCGGGGCAACAACGTGAAAAATTTCCCAAACTTCAAAACCAAAAACGTGTGGACAGCATTGAGGTGTGTGGGAGAATCGATGATAGGCACAGGGCAAAACGCATTTCTATACTCCAAGCCGCTTCATGAGCAAACGAGCCTCGGATAAACATGTTCGATTTTGCTCAAACCCGTTCATCGAAACAGCCGAAGCCCCGGGTTGGAACGCTGCAACCACAGCATGTGCAGTCTTCCCTAATGGCTATTTCGTCCCATCTATTCTGAGTGTCAGCTTACATCCATGCACCAGGCGGGGCCATACGGGAGGAATCCGCCACCATTTATTCGGCGGTGCGTCCTTGAACCCCTGACGCGAGAACACCACAAATTCACTCACGAGGACACACCACACCATTTACTTGCACAGCATATTGTAGCAATAATGACTGTAGAACAGCTCGAAACTGGTGTATACAACCGACCTATTCTACGCTAACGACAAGAACAACTGAACCCCACCCACAATAGGGCCTTCTTCTTCCAAAGAGAGAGAGAGTCGTCCCCGCCACCCATTCGTCAAACTGCGTCGACCCTGGGCTGCTAAGAGGGCAAGATAGCAAGAGAATAACATCAGCTACTTCGAGTGGGGGTTCTGGATGACGATCAAGATGTAGTCCTTGTCTGGCGCCACCATAATCTCGTGCTTTGTGCTCCGCAGTCGCAAAAAAGTAAGGCTGTCTGCCTCGTCCAGCGTCCGAACTATACCATTTGCCTTGAAGCTCAGCTGGCTGATCAAGGCCGAGTACGTGTCGGTGTCCTCTTGGCTGAGGTTGGATCGAATAGGGATCCCATCTTTGTTCAAGATCAGGACGCCCTTAACCCCCCGGTGTGACTGGATTCGTTTGAGAGTTTCCTCCACCTCGGACGACATCGATCTCCCGCCTTCCTCTCAACCCTTCTTCTTGTTGCAGGAGAGCTATCTGTTGTGCCACGTTTCAGCAGCCGGCCAGCGAGTGCGCAAGGATCGGTTTGTAAGACGGACAAGCAGCATACAGGAGGGAGGGGTGCAATATCTAACCTTTTAACGTGTGCCGAAACCTGCATCGCTTCCGTCCTTTCGTGTGACATGCACTCACCAGAGCCACCGCGTCGTAGAGCAATTCACAGGACTGGATCAGAAGGGCAAAAAAGAAGAAAAGAAGAAAAGGTGCAAGGGAGATGGGCGAGAGGCGAGCAGGCGGAGGCAGGCAGGACCAAACAGCAGGCAGGCAGGTTGGTGTGCGGCGAAACTACAGTCTCTTCCGGGTTTCCACACAAATGACAGGGCGTTCGTTCGACGTGGCGTAACTGCTGTGATACCTCATGTTTCTCGCGTACGGCTTGCGGCTTTCCCTGCACGTCTCTGGGGATGCAGGCAGCGGTATGTTTGTTGCGGTAAACAACACCGGACATGGAAGAGCTTCAAAGCAATAGGGCTGTTCTTGCGGCACTAAGAGGTCTCCAGGACAAAGTGAGGCGCCTGGAGGTGAGTGTAGCTGCCGTCTCTACTGAATGAAGTTGACCACCGCGGTAGTTCTGAACCAGCTACACATAAGATCTTTACCAGCTCGTGCAATTAATTAACGGTCAATATAAGATCCAACAGAGGCTGTGTGCGGGAGACTAAGATAAGAGCTTGCGGGCGTTGTGATTGTGATATGACAGAATGCCCATTCGTTGTAGGTTGCAAGCTTGAGGCCGCAAAAAGGAATGTGTATCACGACGAACAAACGCCGACGAAGAGAGCGCAAACGTACAAGTTGTAATCACATATGCACCCACTCGCCGTCGTCGCTGCCTCGCCGTACCAGGACGAGCGTACGCAGGCTGTCGAGGAAGTGCAAAAATTCAAGAGCGAGTTGGTGCAGCGCCGAGAAGAATTCAAGCATGCGCAGGAGCTACAGAACCTCACAATCCAGGAGGAAAGTGCAGCGTCTCGTCTGTCATACGAACGACTTCTCGCCGAGAAGAGACTGGTTGACAACCGTCTAGAGGAGACCGAGGCGAGTGGACCGAAGAACGGGGTGAAAAAAAGAGACTTCGGAAGCAAGCGACAACAACCAACCTCTGCTGCGATGTGTGTACTCATGGGCTTCCAGATGAAAAAAGCTCTCTCAGAATACGCCGGGCCCGTCGATGAACATGATGAAATGAGAGGAGTATTGAAATGGAGATGCATGTCATGCAAACCAAGCATGCACCAGAAAAACCAAATGCTGCTCCTCTATATGCTGGTGCTGACGAAGAACAGATTCTTTGCATGTACACAGCCCGCGTGTGCAATTTCCGCATTCCACGAAACGCACGTTCATCCCTGGTGGATTGTTGCTCGCGTTGTGTCAAGTTTTCTTACCACTTGAAACATCTCAGGAGTTGAAGCGGGAGCTCCAAAAAGCATGTGAAACCGCGCGCGATAAAGGGCAAGACTCACATGTGGCACAATTGGCAGCGGATGCTAAGGCTTCTATTCTGGAGAGGCGCGTCAAGGAATGCGAACGAATTGTGAGACGGGTTTCTTCGTGGCAAGCACAAAACAAACACATGAAACCGCTGCTTACTTGTAGACTTACCCAATACTACAATTACGCACGTCCGCCCCCAATGTGGTCGTCACGCAATATGAATGTTGAGTACAATACCGTATTTTTGCCTATGACTATCTATGTAAGGGTGAAGATTGGCGCCCAGGATACATGGGACTGAATACCCTACGTAGCCTTAGCGTCGAAACCGCAGAGTGGGTGAGTTGAACGGTGATGGCGTGGAGTAGAAAACTGGCAGCTATCATACCTGATCAACCTGCGATCGTCTTGAAAACGAAACGAGCACCAGCCGCGCGTTTCAGCCCATGCTCTTGGTCCCGGTGAACAACCCAATATTACTATCAACACACGACTACATGGGGACCATTCTTCAGCACAACGACGTCTATTCCTCCCTTTCCTTGGTCGTAAATCCATCACCCGTAGAGCGAATTTCTATCTGCGCAGTCCAATCAAGTTTCTGAGTGCTCGACTGTGGATCGTGATGAACTTGACCTCTTGAAGTTGAGTGCTTTCTTGCCCACTCTTGCAGGCCCAGGCTAGGAAAGACCGATGCTCGCGAGCACGGAAAACCGCCCGTCGGGAAACAGCCGCGGCAGATTCTCAGCTGATCAGTTTGGCCGGAAGAGTGAAAGTGAGGACATCGCGAAGCTGATGTTGGCCGCCAGCCGAGAAGAGAAAAGCGCCAAGATCCAAACGGTTGCACAGCAACAAGTAGCATGGAGAGCGTACGCCTGTACGACAAGGTGGCACTCCGTCTCGAGACGCCCTCGACTTAGCGTGGTTCCTTGCGAAACGCAGTCAGTCAATTCCTCCCTACCCATGTTTCGTCTTCGTCGCTGTGAACACTTGCAGAAGCTCCAGCGCACACTTAACGACGAGCGTTCCTCTCGCCAGTCCACCGAATTCAAGCACCATCGAGCCAAAAGTACCACAATTCGAATTGGCCGGTACTTGGACTCAATCCTCAATGTCAACCAAGAGCTCGTAGCAGCAGGGACGCCCTCGTCCCTAACGCCAACAGCGAGGCAACCTGTACCGAGAGCCCTAGGCGAGCTCCAGCGAAAACAAAGCATCAGAGACAGCTACGCTACCCCGCGGCAGAACTCAGCATTGGAAGGCGACGGGATTGACATTCGCGCCGCTGTGAACGAGGCGCTTGGCGTTGGTCGTACTGGCGGAGATCCCGTTCCGTCTCTCGCGGCACTGTACGAGCGTATTGGGTTCAGCGCCATACAAGGCGAAGACAGACACCATGGTGGCGCGCCAAGTTTGCCTACGAGCCCCCGTCGAGCCAGGGTCGGTAACGCTGCCGAGGCGTATAGATCTCGTTATGTCCACGACGGGGAAGACTACGGTCGCCAGAGGCTTGTAGAACCCACAGCTGCAGGTGGTTTCTTCGCTGAGGATGACACAGAGGTTGTGGAATCGTCAAGACGGCAAGCTAGCGGTCACCATGTCGATGACGGAGGGTCCAGACCGGCCAATGGCGGGAAACATCACGGAATTGGGAATGCGTTTGTCGGTGGTGCAGTTGCAGCCAAGGGTTATTCCTTTGCTAACTCGCCATTAGTGAGGCCGACATCTGCTGCCGAGAGGTCTCCCGAGGTCGCGAAACGGTTGGAGGCGTTGGCGTCCCAGCTGGAGAGGGAGAGGTCGGACGTGGAGCAGTGGTACAAGGACGTGGTGCACAGGGTAGGTGGTGATTTCGGCCCCCATCGCATGTTATGGATGAAATATCGTCAGGTAGCTCGAACGATCTCCATGGTTGGTGCCTCCGGTTGTATACATAGTAGAAGTAGGATAGCTTTACAACCTGGGGTGCACATAGAGCTTCACTCACTCGTGATGGTTGGTGTTTGTATTCCACAAGGGGGCAGAGCAACCTTCACCGTAGATTTGACGGAACGTCACTAGGAGCGTTTCGTTGTAGGGCTAGGCTACTGGACCAGTATGCTTTTCAAAGCCCCTCTTGCACTCAGCTGGTCCAGTTGTAGCTGCGCTGTGATCGTGAAATCATTCTGATACCTCCCTACATGACGTTGTTCAACAGTCACCCCATACTCATTGTGTTCCCTCTCCGCCGCATGGTAGGCAAGTTCCTGCGTGCAAGAGGGGAGTACTGATGCGGATCTTGATGCCCGAAGCCTCACAGAAGCTATATCCTGTCTTCAAGTGAGTTTTCCTCCGGCCTGTTGAAAACTTGCCCACTTGATGCACAAGAAAATGACCGTACGGGCTGTATCATATTGAAGACAGTTTTCGGCGAAGTTCAATATTGGCCACGACGGATACAGTGTTGTCACGCCCGTGTAGATATGATTCAATGCCTTATGTTGATTCTGCTTCTGGAGTATGGCTGGTGTATAAGGGTCAATCCACAGTTTAACTCAACCTGCTCGATCAACGGCGAATGAATACGATTCCCGGAGTGCGATCATTCGTTTGATCCCTACCGGTCACCAAGGATGCAGGATATCATGTAATTCGAAGTTAGAAGTTGACTTCGTATATCCGACCACTTCCCCTCCTTCTTCGACAGGAAAAATCCCAGCAACTGGACGTCGTTCGCGAGAGCTTGAAAGCGTTCAAAGCCTCTCCACTGACGCCGGCAATCACAAGTCCCACGTTGTGTCGCCGCAAGGTCGCTGCGTTGAATGTTCTCCAAGGATTATGCCATGACGCGCAAGCGATTGCAGGCGAAAACGGCGGGCTCAGTGCGGCATAGGAACGTTTGCGTGCGGGGATCTAGATAATAGTTTCCTTACGTCGTGTTGCATACATATACACCTGACCAAATTCCGAATGTGGCAGTACGAAAAGCACTTCCACCCCGCTGAACTCGCCCCTAAGAAGGACGGCAACGAAGCCCTGCGAACCCACCTCAACCGAACATTCGGCTTTGGAACCGACAATGCTTCCCCTCGCGCACGCCGACCCTAAGCAAACTCCCCGCAACAAAATCACTCGGTTCACGTTGTACAATCAAACCAGCTCCATGAAATCTATGACGTCCACCGAGACTCACACACAAAATAACCGACGACAATTTCTCCCCACCGGCTTCTTCTTGTTATTTTTTCAACGCGCGCACTCGAAAGACGCCCCCAAATCCGAGTACCTCTTCGTTGGAACTGAGCTTGGGCCATGTGATAGCCGTGGGGTATTGCCCTCGGGATCGACCAACAGCTCAAAACAAAGGCCTCGCGGGCACTATGTTTTTTTTGTTTGTTTCTCTCCCATCATTGGACTCTGCCGTCTGCCCCTCTGGCCCCTATCCTCCACTTCTACTGGCTAGACGACCCAACCGGGGTCACATAGGAGGGGGGGGTGGACCCCCCTCCTGCGGTTCATGCCTGAGGTATTTTTATCGCGAGAAGGGTACAGCAATCCCTTCCCTCGCGACTTACGAAGTCGATTATGGTTTACTAACAAACGAGCTTTGCAGCGCGTCGCTTTCATCCTAGACCAGGATTTATTTAGTGAGAAAAAAACTCTCCCTGCCGGGACTCGAACCCATGACCTGGCCCTTAGCAGGCTGCGAGGCTACCCACTAGACCACCGGGGCGACCGGTGTGTGATGCTTCGGCTCATGTTGCCGTCGACACTTACTTGCGATATTCAGCTAAGAGACCGTTACGGTCTCCAAGAGGTCTCACAGAACGGTAAAAAAAAATGTCTGTCTGTCTGTCGCCGTTTACTCCGAAGCTCCGAGCCGCGCACTTTTTTGAGCCGAACGCCCGAGGCGCGAGGAATCAGACCATCGGGCGTCCTGCACAACTTCAGACGTCCTGAGCAAGTTTCAGCTGTGAAGCCTCGACAGTAGAGACCGTAACGGTCTCCTCGTAGATTAATACATTCACCGGCACCACCATTCGGCAACCGGAACATTGACCACTGGAGTCCAAGTGCTGGGCGAACGCCACCTGCTCCCTGTCCAAAATATACTCGAAAACTATGGGGTTCGTCGCAGCAACCGAGATTAGCACCAACTCTTCGTCCCGTCCCTTTTCCAGCAAAGAAGGTGAGACGCCGTCGTCGCGATTTTCATGATGCATACAATATCACACGCTGTCAACGTGAACGGCGTACAGAGTTGTGGCATTCATCAGCAGCATGGTCTCCGTCTTCATGGGAAACAGGCAGCCGGTCCGCCTGCAGGCCCGCGATAGAGGCGACAGTCGGCTTGAATGAAGTGTAACTGATCGACACGTCGACAACGCCACGCCGCCGAGGGCATCTTCAAAATAGAACTGAAACGGAAAACCCATAATAACGCCTCCCTTGAACTCCCTCTCCGACTCGCTACTCCGCCCTTCAGCCAACCTACGATCTACCGAGCAAGTGCTTTCTCTATCGTCAGCCGGGAAGGGCCTCTTCTATGCAGCCATGAGTTCGGCAGCATGCATGGTACGGCGGCGTGTCGCTTGGGGAGGGCCCATCCTGCGGCGCTCTGTGGTCGCAACGGTTGCCCCGAAGCGGACAAACAGCAGCGGTGAGCAACCAGCCCGTGCCATGCATGCTGTACTTCTATGCTACACTTTCACGCCATCGGCGTTGCCGGCTAGGAGCAGGAAGCACTGCACATTTGTCTCTTGCTCTTTCCTTTCCTTTTGTACCGCTGGTTGCCGTGCTGCTTAGACGGCCAGCTGGCAAGAGCATGGACAGGTTTTCATCAGCCACCAACCATGGCATAGCAGCAGGCGGTGGAAGATACGCTGTCCGCAAGGCCGACACATGCCGACACTGAAGAGTTGATGCAACACGGCAACTTCTGGCCAAGCAGGGCAGGCAATAGATTGCTTCAGTCTAGTGTCTAGTGCACCAGCTGACTCAGTTTCGGGGGCAACGAAGCACTCGTGGAAAGGTCAGGCGAAAACATGGAATCGCTCTATGTTGCGCCACATCCTACGAACCGGCCGCATGTCTTGAGAAAGTTGTCCAAATTCCAAAATCTACATGAGTTCAAGGGGATTTCAAAACAACCATGATACAGAGTCCCGATGTTAGATGCTGAATCAGAAGAGGACATGATGGAGTAGCGAAATGCAAAATGGCGTACGCTCAGATCAGCTACTGGTGCTGTCATATCGTAATACCGAGGCTACCGCTCTAGACTAACCTAGCTACACTCCCCAGTTCTGGATCCATTTTGGTACGTTCCAAACATGCGTCATTCTCATTGCTTCAGACTAGTAAGAATACGCCACCACGAGCTACGGCAGTGCTCCCAGTCCCCCGATCTGGTGGTCGTCTAAAAGTTAGACATACACACCTGCACTCGGGGAGATTGGGTCAAAATTTGACGGTAGAAAGTGCAGCAGTGGAAGATAGATGGTCACGGGTTTCGGCCTGTAGATTGATTTCGTATTTTTTCGGAAATACGTACCGCAGCTACAGCAGTACTCATACAGCAGGTCACCAGCTGCAACCTTCCTTGGACACCACGGCTCCAGCAACGCATCTGACTGTGCTACCGCGCCTGCTGCTTCTCTACATTTGCTTGAGATACATAGTTGTTGGTAAAGATCAGGACCTTGAGAAGCGCAATTTTGTTTTTGCACCGACCGTTTGGTCTGTTTTATCTTGAGGTTAGAGTTGTGGAATTTTGTCTTGGTTTGAGAGAACGTGTGCGGAGTAAGGCTACTGCTGTATGATAGCCAAGTCCCAACCGCCGCACTGTACGACAACTGGTCCTGTGCGTTTCATGTGGGATTGGTTGCTGGGTGCTCTTTCGGTCGTTTTCGAAATCACCCAAAATCAACGTCACTCAGCATCCTCTACAACAGACTCAACTAGAGCAGCGTGCAAATAAGTATCCCAAGGGTGCTGGTAAAAAGTGGAAGAGCCACCTACCACCTAGTAAAGAGGTCGAAAACAAATCGGTGGTGTACCCTTTGTGCGAAGTTCACAAAACACAAGGGATCTTAACGTGGTTATAGAATCCCCCCCCGCCCCCCTCCTCCAGGCCCTGTGCGGGACGTATTTCTATTTTGGCACCTTTGGTATCCAGCATGTGCTTCTTTCTCAATCCGCACTGTAAAAACTAACTCCACACACATGGCCTCTGGGAATCATCTCGATCGGGAATAGTCTCTCTGTGATGACATGCGCCTTTTCTGAAAAACGAACAACACACAGTTATGTCGAAGAGGAAACGCCGGCCGGCTCCCCAGAAATATTCTCACAAGATAAAGAGGGTCATGATTTCACCAGAAAATAGTACATGAGCAATCAGCGGTCAAACGGCCACGGCCTACGATGAATTGAGTCTACCGCCCCGCGTGCGCCACCTCCCCTTACCCTGCCTCGCTCGAACCGCAGGTAATACCGCAGCCGCGACAACTCGGCCGCCGCTCCTCCTTAGCTTCAAGAGAGGCAAGTACAAGCTTAAGCTACCCCTTCAGGACGGGCGTGTGGTGTTCTCGGCGGAGAGAGACACCGCCTTCTCCTTCCACCCGAATCACAGCCTCGAGACGGTCAAGGCTAATATACAGGTGCGTGGGAGTTCCGTACTGGGTGGAATTGTTTGTTGTTGCGAAGTGGTTATGGTTGGAAAGCACAAACGAACGCCCATGCCGTGCGCCAGCTTAGTCGCGATCAAGGCTCCACTTGGGAAGGGGGGGCGGTTGGCGGTAGGGGATATAAATGGCACGGTGTTTCATTTGTGACCTGCGCCTGCTGCTGTGTTCCTGCTCGAGTTGATTCACTATTGAACGTGTTAATGGCGGTAGGGTTGTGTTGTGGGTTGTGGTAGAAGAGAAACGGGAGAGGGTGGCTGTTTTGCTGCACGGTGGTAATACTACAGTGCGCACCCGGTTGTTATCGAGTGCCACGTTCGTCTCTCGGCGCAGAACCCACTTGTTTGTTCGCAGGTCAGATATGATCTGTTCTGGTACACTTCCGATGAAACGTGTGTATGCCATTTTGTTCTAGAATCGCTCGCGATTGGCCCTAAATGCACAACGCCCAACAGCTTTTTCACCCCGTTCGATGTGCGGGTAACCCAACCCCACATGGCGTGGCTAATTGTTGACGGAATCGATGTGATAATGTTGTTGCCCATTCCATCAGGAGGAGGGCGTGTCTAGTGTAGAGTTCACGGGGCCGAACGGGAAGCCGCTACCAGATGATAGTAGTGTTGGGGACGCCGCTTGGCACGGGGGCTTCGACATGACCCTGGATGGGAAGCAGGTGAGTACCTAGTTAAACCTAGCTTCTGCTTTTGGTGCGGTATACCGTTGCCGTTCGCCACAACGGTACTACTAGAACCGCGTGATAGGGCGCTAATCGGCTCTAATGTAGCTAGTAGCTCCATTGCGATGATCAACTTCGCTGTGACGGTGGCCACGCTTTCGAGGGAACCTTCATTTTCGCCCTGTCCGGGGACACTGACGGGCTGCGATGCCCCCATCCCCCCCCCCCCCCCCCCCCCCCCCCCCCCCCCCCCCCCCCCCCCCCCCCCCCCCCCCCCCCCCCCCCCCCCCCCCCCCCCCCCCCCCCCCNTTTTAGTTTCCGGTCCTAGCCACCCGGTCTGGCGGTTACGTCGAGGACGAGGAAGAAGGAGGCGGTCGGACGGAGCTCCCCTCCCTGCTTGAGCGAGGGAAGGTGCTGCGTCTTCGCGCTGCCTTGAACGACGAGACCCGGCGAAGCATGGCCTACGCCGAGTTCGAGGGGCTGTGCGAGGACTGCGGGATGGACAAGGCGGACGCCCGGAAGGTGGCAGCGGACCTGCACAAGGTCGGCGTGATTCTCCACTTCCACGCGGAGCCCGGCCTGGCGGACATCGTCTACCTGCAGCCGCACCAGGTCCTCGAGCACTTCTTCGCCAAGTACAGCCTCGAGTCACCCCTGCGGCAGTACCTGCTGCTGCAGGCGGAGCGGCTCGAGGAGCAGAAGAACGCCGTGAGGCGAGAGCTTGCTCCCACGCTGCGGCTGAAAGAGAACTTGGAAAGCCAGGCCAGGGTCACCGTCTCCCGGTGCATGTGGGGTCTGAGCGCCCTGGTCGTGTCCGGCGCGGGCGGTTACTGGTACCTGTCCTACGTCTACCTCTCGTGGGACATCATGGAGCCCGTGACCTTCTTCACGGCGCTGGGAGTGTCGACGCTGAGCTACGCCTGGTGGATGTTCACGAACAAGGATCTGCAGCACAGCAACATCTTCGACTTCTTCTTCAACAGCATGATCCAGCGCCAGTACGAGGAGGGAGGCCTAGACCAGGCGCGCCTCAAGACGGCGGAGGTGAGATTAGACCGCGCCGCCTCGTCCTCGTACTATTTTATTGCTGTTTGGTGCGATTGCTGCAAGAAGCTCGCCAGCGATATTTGGCTCTTGACATGAAACCGTACAACTTTTTTGTTGTCGCAAAGAACAAGTTTTCTGCGCCAACTCCACGCACACGTTGTTCCCAACCCCCTCCGCCCCAATATTGGTGACTCGTTTTTCTGCCTGTGTCGTTTACCTCCCCTTGGTCGATGGGTCTCAGAAAGCCGATCTCAGCCCACGCTACCTGAGAATATCGCAGCACTACAAGCAGAACTAGAAGTATTTTGGCTTTAATCAGGCAGGGTGGTTTGTTTCACGACCGTTCGTTGTTTGAGCAGCTGCCATTAGCTGTGGCGCGAAAACCGGGTTATGCGTGTTGACATGACATGTGGGAGCAGGTTGTTGACTTGTCGCCGGTCCTTTTCTCTTTTTTTCCGACGATCTCCAACTCTACACGCGTCGTGCATCGTGCATCGCGTCCGGAACTGCGTTACCACCCGACAACAGAATCATGCAAGGCCGCCCGCATGCACCTTGTTTAAACAGAGCTCTCACACACCCTTCCCAACTGTGTGGCTGGGTGACTTCGACATACATTCAGGAGGAGCTTTCAAAGCTGGACAACAAGGGAAAGTTGCTGGAAGCGAGAATTTTTGAGCTGGAGTGCATGAGGGACAAGGGGATAACCGCTGCTGCAGCCGCCGGCATCGCGTCCGACCGAAATGCCACGTGATGCGAGCTGGTGCACTGTACTAATAGTCGTGTTTTTGTCTCGAGTCATCGGTGCCTGTCCTGGTTCCCTCTGCCTTGACGCGACCGCGCCATGCCACTTTCAAGAAACATGATAGGCAAAGAAGGAATAGATTGTAACCAAGCAGGAACGTCGAAGACCCAAGTGAACTGGCTGGCAAGACAGGAGGCACTGATTTGTCTCGCATTTGACAAGGCTGGTAAAGACCCGGTTGACTGACGTGTTTGTGCATGTTTCGTTGTTGGCAAGGTTGATGGTTAGAGTTAGAAGCCGGGTCTCGGACACGAAGGCGGAGATAAATTTGTGAGGGTATCTGGTGGCCAATCGAGATCACGTCGAAATCCGGGGCGGTAACGTACTGGGAGACACGATTTGTGCGGTTTTGTAGAGTTTTCTTTCCCACCTTTGCTGGGTTTATCTCGAAGTTCGAAGTGTCCGTGAACCCTGGTTTTAGACGTAGACCAAGTTCCTTCCTGGGTCACATCAGCAGAAATAGCCAACCTCCAGACAGGAATGCTTGTTCTTCAACCTGTCTAGACCAAGCTTTTACAACTTTCGTGCGATCACCTCAATCGGGAAGGTGATCGATCTTGCATGACAGGCTAGCCTTGATGGTGCTTCGGCATGCTCGTGAATGCACAACATGACTGCTCGTTCGTGGCTTGATGGATAGAACAATCGTGGCTTGATAGATAGAACAATCGGTGTACATCGAGTGACATGTTTCGCAAAAGTGTTTGAATCGTCGTCTGTCTCACTCAGCCTTTTTCTTGTTTCGTCCCTTGTTGAGCCACTGCTGTCGTGACATGACATGCCCCTCCACCGCAAGCTCGACAGGATCGCATGCCAAAAAGACAAACATTGCCTTCGTTTGCATAAAAGGATTCTTTTTGAACTACCGTAGACAAGGCACCTGCAGGAGAGCACGCCTATTCCGAACAACGAGCAAGCGCGGGAGTTGGGCATGCAGCCGCTTTCGGGACGCTCGCTCGCCTTTGCGCTGCACTCAACGCGCCCCTGAAACGATGGCGTTTGAGCCGCCCGATCTCGCAAAAAATGGATAATTCAACGCTTTTGGTAAATCAAGGACCTCCGTTCGCCTAGGGAGCGACAAGGCCCAACGGGAAGGTCTGCTGGAATTTTTGGCGCTACACAGAAGAACAGCTACCCCCCCCCTCCCCCGTCCGCCCGCAACGCCAAACAGTCTGGGCTCGGCACAACAAAGGGTCGAGCCAACACGGCAGATGTCAACGAAATGTCGTCCTACTACGCAAAACAATTAACCACTGCACGTTATTCTATCAAAAATTAATCAAACCAGCGTCCTGGTTTCCCCTTCCTTCGGGCTCCATCTCCCTCCACCGCCCCAACTCCCCAGTCCAGCACCGCCTCTGCCCCACGCTTACCCTTGCCCTTCCCCTTGCTCTTCGCCCCCGCCGTTGCCGCCGCCGCCACGACCTCCGTCTTGGCCGTGTACGCCTTCTCCAGCTTTTGGTAGGCGCGCTCTTGTTGATCCATGCGTTCGTATGGGCTCGTCTAATTTTCGCACGATGGGTAGCAAGTGGGGTGGTCATGTAGAACGCAACGTTAGGTGTGTTGTGTGCGTGTTTTGTCGGCACACTCAATACCACGCCGCAAGGGATGTTTACACTGCGGACTACGCAAAGGTGCGGGGTATGTACAACATGACGGTGGATGCACGCGAGTTGAGTCGGGCGATGCTGTGCGCGAATCGCCGAACGGGGCACATACTGCTACATCAACCAGTACTCACGGTATCTCATCAAGTGCCTACTCTGACAGATGTTATGTTTTTGTCGAAGTCCATCCTACCAATAGCGAAGACAACGATTTCCGCTCGTACACCAAATACGGTTCAGCACGCTAGACACTTCCACGATGCTGCTGTGAACTGCGTCATTTACAGCAGTGGGTGTGCAAGCACGAACACGGAGAGCAATGCTTGACGAGGGAGTGGATCCGGATGCCAGGTTTCGCTTTCGTTTGGGTCTATCGCTGCCTATCGCTGCTGCGTATCGCTACCGCCGTACCTGACTCGGAGCATCAGACCGAACCATGAGTCCGCTCTCATGTCTACTCTCGTCGTGACACGTCGACTGCACAGAGTACATATAGCCCTCGAAAGGGGAACACCCTCCAGACGGAAACGGACCGTCCCTCCCCCCACGACTACACATTGTACGCCAAGCTTTCACAAACGATCGGCTGTACTGACTGGGGCTTCGTGGAGAAAGCCGGCGCACCTTCTTTTTCTTCTTCTTGCGCTTCGGTCTGTCCTCCTCTCCTTCCGTCCCCCGCCCCCCCACGAGACCGTCAGTTTCGGCGTCCCCTGCGTCCACCACTGCATCGCCCCCGCCCCCGTCCTCCTCAGGAGTTGCCTTTGCGCCCGGCTTTTTTCGCTTCTTCTTGGAGCTCGGTGCCGCGCTGCCGGTGTTTGCTGTAGAGGCTTGACCATCGGGGACCTCGCTTGATTCTGCCTGCTGCTGCTGCTGCTGCTGCTGTCGTTGCTTCTTCTTCTCGCGTTGGATCTGAGCGTAACAAGAAGGGGATAAGACAACAACAACAACATTGGAACACAACACGGTAGGACAGGCGGCAAGCAAGTCGACTCGAAATTTAAAATTTAGCACGCATGTATTGCACTGGTACGACTTGCGGAGCTTGGGGTACACAACATGCTGCGTGCTTAATGGTGGATACGATCAGGCCTGGCGTGCCTAACCAAGACTTTTGCATGCCACATATGAGGCAGCACGTGAAATGATGGATCACTTCGCTCACGTCGCATGTTGCCGCGACCGGGTTTATCTAGAATTTATCTAGAATAGTCTTTGTCTCATGTCCCGCTGTCCGTGTCTACGTAGAATATCCCCAGGACACGAGAGGGAAATCAATGGGGAAGCTTAGTCCATGAGTCAGCCCCAAGACAGGCCCAGCACGACGCCAACGGTGCGCCGCAAGAGCGCGAAAGGAAGACACACCCATCTCTACCTTCCCACGACTCTTCATCTCCTTGTTCTCGACTTCCTTCTTCAACGGACGCCCGTCCTGCCCAAGCCCCAGCGCCTTGAGCTCTCGCTTACGCTGCTCGAACGCCTCCTTGCGGCCCTGGTGATGTAGCCAAAGACACCGGTCATCCGAAGCAAGGACAAAAGCCGTTACAGTACACGGAAAAACAACCATGATTCCACGGAGCACCCGGAATGTGTGTCGAGTGGACTACCGTAAGGTAAGGAGATTTATTATACGTTATTTCTCAATCTAAATGGACCATCCTCATGCTGTCCTCGTTTCGATCTTGCTATGCATGGCGCATTTGTCATCTCGGACTCGATTTGATCATTTTCGGATCGTTAACGACAGTGACGTGGTGTGGCCGACGATGCGACACATGTTCGATGCAACTTAATACTGAGGGCGGAAAACAGGTATTTTTACGTCAAGCAACATTCTTTACTTTTACGTAGATACGTCAAGCGCACGCGACGCCAACTCCAAGCCGAGGAACCACAACAAACGAGTGGCTCGACACGAACGCGAGATAGACGCACGGTCGCTCGTTGCCACGGATCTCTGTGCCGGCGATGCGAAGCCGACGAGATACGTACATACATACCTGCTGAAGCTTGAGCTTAGCATGGTTCTCGACGCTGAACTCTACGATAAGCCTGGAGCTTTCCCCCTTCGCCGCCCCGTCGGACTTGGCCTGCCCGGAATAGGCCGGGTTGTTGTTCATCTGACGGAGCGCAGCCAACGCCTGGCCGTGGTGAGAAAACTCCACGAAGCCGTAGCCCTTGCTGGGGTGCAGCTCCGTGGGGTCCTGTGAGGAACATAAGGGCGATACAAAAAGGCGTGTTTTCTTCGAGGGGATCGGGGGCCGAGGGGGGGAGCGGGGGGCACTCGGCACCATCAGCAACAGTGAGCGTTGGCCGGTGGAGTGTGAGGATACGCGGACGACAAACGCATTTTCTTCACGGCGGTGGAGGCGATTCGGCGGGCATGCCACCCTTTGCACTCGAGACATGTATGCATATGCATACAAACATCAACACGGGCGGGGTATTGACGCATGGCCCTCGCCCGCTTCTCTCCAACCACTTGAAAACGTAGCTACCGCAACGCAATAGGCATAAGGCTACCGTTTCAACAAGAGCTCTCCAACACCGCTGCAGCAGCACAAAAACAGTACACGAAATTCTCTGGAGGTGGGGTGTACTCATACTCATAGTCGTGCATGCCGTAGTCGTTAGACCATTGACCTCGCATCCCTACAAAACCGGGACGGAGCACGCTGGGTTCTCACCGGACCGGGCTCTGGCATGGTTCAATGGGATTCGGCAAAGCTCGTGCAACGAAAGCACTGATACAAAACAAACAGGATCTCGCTCTCACGTCCGTGCTGGGCTTTTTGTCCATGTCCCGGATGATCTTGGCCTTCACCACGGAGTTGCCAGTTACAGCTGGGATCTGCAACCGCTTCGGGGTGATGGCGGCGAATTCTTCGCCCTGCGAGCACAAGATACAAAATTAAAGGGTCACATCAGTGGCGGTGCCCTGGCCATGTATTTGTTCTTGTTTTTTCGGACAACAAGTGCTTCCCACAAAATACTTTGCCATCCACACCACTGAGTTTCCACCGACTAACCCTCCGGACAACCGGACAGCACTTCCAGCGGTATTATACCAAGTACTGCAGCAGCGGCCCTTGTATCAGGCAGGCCGTGTTGTGCGAGGGATTTGACCCGCCAAATAGACGGCATTCGGTCATACGGGAGAGAGCCTCGCTGCACCCCACTGCTCATACTTGTCAAGACTGCTGCCTTCGATCGTGAAAATCTGTTGCCACTTGAAGGTCATTGACCGCTCTCTGTTCGATTGAGCGAAAGTGTCGCTGGCAGCTGAACACTCCAATCACACTGCATGTACAACCACAAAGCACATCCTAGTTCCACGAACGCAAGACAAACAAAAGGGGGGGGGNAGCACGCCGGGTTCTCACCGGACCAGGCTCTCACATCACCAAGCGCGAAGCGCCGTGAGATATTCGGCGAGTCGCATGAAGGGTGCGCTGCATCCTGCTAAGGGTTTTCGGCATCTTGTGCTTACTTCCTTGCGTACGGATGACAGCTGCGTATGACTTAATTTACTTTCTGGTGCAATCACTTCCAGAGACAGTTATAAGCACTTGTGTAACTGCCTCGAGGGTGCTTGACCATTTTAACACAACGTGATGCGATAACCCCCCTTGCGCGGAGTGAGGGTTCTCCACCCCGCACAACATGATCTACTCGACCACCATTATGGTTACCGCCAAAAAAAAACATGGTAACAAAAAAAACGGGAACCTGGTTTCCGAGCTCACGAAGTAAACTGGCTTGTTTTACAACGTCGTCGCCAAGCGACGAAAACCCAATCCCGATGGCAAACACCAATGGGCATACTCTTATGTTTTGCATGCCCTAGCGGTTAGACCATTGACCACTCGTGCTCGAGAAGACGGAGCTTTGTTCCCACAGGACCGATCACCGATGGCCAATTGTTCCTTTCTATTTTGCCAAAGGTGGCTCAAAAATGTCTTCCCTAGTCTGTCTATCCTAACGATATCTCTTCCCGCCTTTTCAACCCACTTCCTATGCCCCACTACAGCTACCGTCCTTTCCTCTCTATTCCATGCCTCAAATATCTCCCTGTACGTTCCATCTATTTTTCCCAGCTCAGTCACGTACACTTCCCTCTCCTTGTACAACGGACATTCCGCGACTACATGAACACGGTCTTCGCATTCGAAGCCGCAATCACATTTGAACTCGTCGTCTTCCTCGTCTACCGTCCTATGTCTTCGTCGACGTTCTCGAAGGCCTATGTCCCCGGTCCTGAATTTGACCTTAAGCTTTGTTCCTGCATCCATTGGTCCATGTAGGTAGTCCTTGAACCCTATTCCTTCCTTCAACATTGCGTACACTTCTACACCCTCCTCATCCTTGGTTTCTTTCCTCAGATTCTGTTCTTCTCTCTCGGCACAAGCAACAGATATCTTCTCCTTGAACCCCTGTAGACCCTCCGTTTCCAGCGTTTCATCTTCGTCGCTGTCGAGCCCCTTCCATATGTCCTCTACAACCTTGACTCATTCCGTGGGTTATCTACCCCTCTTTTTGTTTGCCCGCTTCGCCTCCCATACAATTCTCGGCAACCTCTCCTCTCCCATCCCGCACATGCGATACTGTAATGTCAGCTTCCTCGCGTCTCTTCCCGACCGTAGGGATTGGATCCCCAATTCTGCCCTCACGGCTGCATTACTTGTGCGCCTGGAGCATCCTAGGATGGTTTTCGCTGCTTTCATCTGCGCCGCCTCGAGTTCTTTCACTACCTTCTTATTTCCTTCCCATACTTCTCCGGCGTACTCTAGCGGCGGTACGATTACGCTCTTCAAAACCGTCAATTTGATGCGTGTATCGAGGTGCCGGTTTGCGAGTATTGGGTGCAGCTTCCCTGCTCGTGATTTGCCCTTTTCCGCTACCTTGGACATGTGTGCATTCCACGAGCAGTCTTTTGCGATCTCTACTCCGAGGTATGTGTACTGGTCCACTACTGCAATCTCCTCGATCCCCCACTTCCATCTATGTTCTACTGGTTCCTCCTTGTTCTCGTTGCAAACCATGACGGCACTCTTCTGAACGTTGGCAGACAGTATCCACTTATCAGTAAACTTCTTCGCCGCGTCAATTTGCAGTTGCAGTCCCTCAGGGGTGTCCGACATACCGACAAAATCATCCGCAAACAGCATTCCTGAAACCGACGTTTCCGTGTCCCCTACTTTTACTCCCTTCCGGACTGCCTCTACGACTTCCAACAGATCGTTGATGAACACCTGGAACAATGTTGGGGACAGCGTGCAACCTTGTGGGACCCCCTGCTCAATGTCGAAGAATTTTGACAGTTCTCCGTCTAGCATGACCGCACTTTTCGTGCACTCTGTCATCTTCTTCAGCACTCTCCACATTTTCCCCTTGATCCCGTATTTGGACAGTTGTTTCCACAACCCATTTCTCCATACGGTGTCGTATGCCTTTTTCACGTCCAGGAAGAAGCAGTACGTCGGCTTTCCCGCCCTCTTTCTACCTTGGATGATTCTCCCTACCGTGAACACGTGGTCTACGCACCCCCTCTTCTTCCGTAAACCTGCCTGGCCCTCACTAATGCTATGTTCCTTCTCCAATACTCCCACTATCCCATCGTTCAGCAGCTTACAGAACACTTTTCCTACTGTATTCAACAGTGTGACCCCCCTGTAGTTTCCTGGGTCAGTCTTGTCTCCTTTCTGAAACAACTTCACAACCACTCCTTCCCTCCATCTTCTTGGCGTATACTCGTTCACCAATGGGGGGGCTTGTTTTACAACGTCATTGCCAAGCGACGAGAACTTAACCCCGATGGCAAACACCGAGGGGGGGGAAGGGGGGGGTCCATACCTGAGCTTCAAGGTAGAGGCGCACGTCCTGAGGATTAGCGCGACCTGCTTGGATCCCCGCCCTCGCCGCCGCTGCTGCCATGCTCTTCAGCTTGCCGTCCGTCACATGCCGCCCGAGATTGCGCACGCTCAGCCGCGTCGGGCTGACGAAGAAGATAGGGTTCTTGAGCTTGCTCTTTTTGTCCTTACGGGCCAACACTCGCTTCTCCATGTCGGACTTGGCAGCACCCTCCGCGGCGCCGCTGTCCTCCAGGACAAGACCTTCGTCGGCCAGGTACAGGTTGCGCTTGTCCTTGTGCCCCACACGCTTCTGGGCGCCGACGGTTAGGCGCCCGGCCTAGGAGGGAGGGACGGGTGAGGGCAGAGATATAACAGGAAGGTGATTACTGGTTGTCCTTTTCTATCGTTTGGCCGTCCTCCGCGTTTTCCTTTCGAGACAAAGAAACGCCAGTTTTGCCTCCTGTTGATGGAAACACCACCGACAAGCCGCGGGCGCTCTGGGCATATTTGTCTACGAAATGTGTTTCTGCTCCTCTCAGTCGTGCGCTACCACCCTCACCCTCAATCATGCTACAATACAACGAAGGGGCATATACTACTGGATGCAAGACTATTGTATTGAGCAAGGTCTTCTTCCTTCTACACCAGGTACTTCTGCACAGCGACAAGCGACAAGTCCAATGCACATACAATGCAAAGCATGCATCAGTTCTCCACAGCGACGTTAACGGTATCGTCGGCGCCTAATTGAAAACGGTGTTCCTTCGGGGAAACAAGGTCCGCTCTAGGATAAAACCTGCGACACAAACGTCTACGGTGCGGTAATGCTGATGCTGTGCCTCTCTTACCTCCTCTCTATCCACGGCACGAGTAACGTGCAACGCGCGGCTTCCGAGGTAGATGCACGATCCTCCAGAGTCGCGAGCATGGGCCGGGTCGGTGGCGCCGATTGCGGCCGCCAGGCAACGATCAGCATCGTCCCTCTTCGAGTACTGTAGTTGGTCCAAAAAGAGATTTAGACGCACACAACCACGTTCCGTTAACCCAAAGAACCGGGGTAAAAACATTAAACGGGGTGTACATAGTGGCTGGAATAACGGGGTGAATTGGCGTGTCAGTGCAAGGTCAAACGACTTCTCGACAGAGCTCTCAAGAGTGAACTCGAGAACAAATGTTCCAGCCGACCGCTATAAATGGGGTTTTGGGACCGGTGAGGAGGCCGCTGTTTGTAGCGTGTTCGACGGACAGCAAATAACAGAAAAAAAAATTGTGACGGCGAGGACGAGAACCCACTTCTGAAGCGGTTGAGCCACCATTAAACCAAAAGAATACGAGCGCAACCGGAAGATAGTGCTTGGATTGAAACAAAACACCACAAAGCACGCATGGTGTGACTGACGTCAAGACGACACTGCATACAGCTACAGGGTCCCCGGCCTCACCCTATACCCTCGCACCAATAACACCAAACCACGGCACCCCCCTCCACACACCTTTACGAAAGCGGTCCCGCGAGGCATCCCCGTGGCTCGGTCCTTGACCAGAAGCGCCAAACGCACGTCTCCGAACTCGCTGAACCTCTCCTTCACCTCCTCCTGGCTGGAGTCGAAGGCCACGTTCCGCACGAAGATCGTGCACCCGTGGTTAACATCCGGGGCCTGCTGCTGCTTCCGCTCCACCGCACGCCCCACCCCGGCCCCAGCATCGGGCCCCCCTTCCTTCGGTTCTTCTGCCCCATCCTCCTCACCTTCGCTTTCGTCATCTGAGCCTCCGGCGGCGCCGCCTTCCTCTTCCTCTTCCTCCTCCTCCTCCTCATCGTCGACTTCTGAGTCGACGTCCATCCCGTCACCACGCACCCCCTGATCTTCGGTGTCGTCGTCGTCACTTGCTGCCGCGGCGGGGGTGCTTGGTGCTCCTTGGTTGAGAGCGCTGTACTTTTCCTTGGTGATGGAGTAGTCCACCGCTGCGTCGCGACCTTTTATCTTGAGGACACCGTGGTCCTGTTATTGTCCCACACCATTGAACGTGTTGATTTAAGTTGTTGAAGAGATTAGCGAGATCGGTGGATGTCCATGTGAGAGGAAGCGAGCCCGCAGCTGTAGAGACCGCGTGCACACTCATGCCGATGTGATGCATATGCCGACCGTACAAACAATACATTCGGCGTGGTAGGGCAAGCGGGCCCGTCTAGCAAACTGAAACATCCGAGGTGATCGGTGAGAGGTACTCAAACGCTTCTACCCAACCGTCGGCCTACGAAACCACGAGTTATCGTTCGCCAGTCTCGGCTCGAATCACGGATCTAGGGGTCTAGAACACCCTCAGTACTGTCGAGAATACCATCAAGACAAGTAGAGCGGCCTGATGATAGCTCCTACGTGAACATTCTACGTTTGCAGCTGATTCCAACAAACAAAAGTACTTTTCACAAGTGGGCCAAACTACTCAAGCATGGAAGTCACTGGAGGTGCCTCTGACCTTGACGACGCGGGCGGCATCCTTGGGGCACAGAAACTGCACGAACCCGAAACCGCGGCTCCTGTTCTCCGTAACCTCTTCCTGCTTGTCCGTGCCCTTGACCCTCCTTCGAGACGTGACCTTCACAGTCGGGATGTGCACCTGGACCAAACGAAGGGTGCAACGCGAGCATGTCTACGACAGGATGTAGGTGGCCAGCAGCAGCTGCGTATCTGCTAGGCAGGAGGGAGAGTTTGAAAGGACGAGGATACGGCTTCACGTCGTCGGGGCCTGCCAGCATTGAAACAAGCATTCAGACCGTCTATCTTTGCTTGCTGCAACAGCGACCGTACGCCACTAAACCTGGGCGGACAGGTGCGGAGCTCCACTGCACCGTTTTGTCGGATGTCGTTTCCTCTCACAACACTGTGCCTGGGGACCTCGGTTACTACGGGTGCTGGCCGCATTTTCACTCACCTCCGACAACGGCCCGAATTCCGAAAACGCTTCGGCGAGGTCCTCCTCCTTGGCGTGAAAGTTGAGGTTACGAACGATCAGGCGCTGCTGCTTCTGCAGTCGCACATCTGATTCAGAAGGGGAAATTGCAATTGAATACAACATATGCGGGGAAATAACGTCAAACGCGGCAGGTGAAAGCAACCCTACATCGATTGTCACGCCCGCGCCTAGCTTCTCGCCTACTTAGACCAACCGCCATCGCCCACAATGAACAGGTTTGGGTCGTGATTCGCAAGGGACAATACTGCCTGTGCATAACAACTTCTACGGAATACAAGGGGGCAAGTCGTAGCTCAAGGGCCCAATCCCATAGAGAATCACAACGGCCGGAAGTCTCCTCCCTTATCAATCCCGAGTCGGACCAGAACGAGGCATAAACCTCACCGTGGCCCGGCACGACCTCCATAAGCCTCCTCGCCCTGAGCGTCTGGCCGTGCACGGTGTGGCCGTCAATGCCGGTGATGATCTTCCTCGTCCCCTCCTTGCCGCAGCACACCACGCGGGCAATCCTGCCCGTCGGAAAGTATCCGCGTTCGTTCTCCTCAACAGTGCAGGCGGTCAGAGTGGCGTACTGGAGAAAAGGGGAAGCCGTAGAGGGAGAGTTGAACGCGAGGCGAGTGGACGAGTTAGGGTTCATGTAGCCGTCAGAAAGAGCAATTGCGCGGGCGTGTGCGACAGTGGACATGCACGCGGATTGTAGCGGCGGAGCGTCGTGGAATCGTGAATCGTGCGACGCGTGCCCGTCTAAGGCGGGCTACCAAGGGCGAGATTCTACATTACTTTGTGTACCGCGCACAAGAACGTCACCAAAAACAAGGTCTCTCACGACATCGCAGCTACAGCATATGTGGCACATTTTGCCGGCTCCCACCAATGGCACTACTCGAATCCATCAAGTGGTAACCCCCCGTCTTTCTTCTCAGAATGCCACCATTTCAAAAAAGGTCCTCCACTCCTTGCTAACGCCTGCAACGTTTCGCGCCCCTCCTGTTCGGTTCCCCTCCCTCACCTTCTTGAGGCGCTTCTGCAGCTGCTTCGCCGTCAGGTCTTCCGCGACGCCAAAAACAAGCACCGTCTTGGCATCACCAAGCAGCTTCGCGGCCTTCGGGTCCACGGGCTCCTCGTCCTTGCTTTCTTCCCCCCCGGCATCGCCATCCCCATCCTCTTCTTCCGCAGCCGGGGGCGCCGCTTCCGCTTCCGCTTTCGCAGCAGCAGCAGCAGCAGCGTCCAGTTTGGCTTGCTCTTCCTTTTTGTCCTTTGCTCGCTCCTTCGCCTTTCTCTTAAGCTCTTTCTTCATGGCTTTCCTCGCCAGTTTCCTTGCCTCCTTCTTGCCCAGGCCCGTTGCCTCTGCCGCCGCTATCGCGGCCGCGAGCTGTACAGCCCTCCCGCTAGCCTTGGAGTCGCCCCCGTCTCCAGCCTTCCCAGCGGTACCCTCCTTGGTAGCAGACACCGCCTGCTTGTCGGAGGCCACCGCTGGCGGCTTTTCGCTTCGAGCGGGCGCCGGCGGCTTCCCTCCCGCTGAACCCCCCCCACCGTAGGTACTCGCAACCAACTCCCCGCCGCCCGCCGCCCTGCCGGCACTGCTGCTGTCTGCAAGGGCTCCCGGTGGAGGGGCTTGGTCTCCGCCTGGCTGCTGCTGCTGCTGCTGCTGCTGCTGCTGCTCTCGCCCGTTGCCTTCCCGCTTGGCACCCTTCTTGAGCGCAATCTCGCACGACACCTCTCTCCCCATCACCCTGGTTATTTTGCCCCGGGGGGGTGTTGACGCCACACGGGTTACGAGACGGGGAAGGAAATCATCACCGGTCGCAAGTTGGGCTAGGCATCCCTTGCGGGTCAGAGTTACGAGCGTTGAGGCTTCGTTCGTCTGAGCTATGTAGCAGTTCTGCGGTGTTTCAAAGCCAGCGGCCATTTACTAGGAATCACGCCCTATCTTTACGCCGTGCCGATCGCATCGGTACACCCGCGTGGTGGGAGACACTCGGGTAGATGTGTTTCGCAACCAAGTCAATCTCGTTCTTCACTCATCACTGACCTCTTCCTGTGGATGATGCTGACAGCCTTAGTTGCATCGGACTCCAGGGCAAACGTTACGAAGCCGAAGCCGCGTGAACGCTTTGCCCCAGTTTCTGCATCCGTGGTCTTGATGAGGTCGATGCGCTTGATCGGACCGCAGTCCGCGAGCATGGTTTCGATGTCCTGTGTCGGCAATCGGGAACCAGGGTGTTGGGGGACTAGCTGTGACGGACATACAGCACTGCCTGTTGGTGGAATGAAAGGGGGAGGTTGTCGGTCATGCAGCACAAGGATACCGCAAAAAACACTTCATATTATTACCACACGTGCTTCGGTACACCTCTCTGCTGGAGCAGCCACAGCAGTATGCTTACTACTGTTTGTAGTGTAGTCTACACGAGCTCTCCCTGCACCCAACCGGCAAGCCAGACGTCTACTGCTGTACGTATGTATGCATACCAAGGATCCAAACATGCGGTCGCACCGCCCCCCCGCCTTATGGAGAATGGTACTCTAGGGTCGAGAGGAGAAGATAGGGCCAAGGGCATATTGAAGATACTCGAGGGATCGACGACATCCTGACACCACATGTTCTGGTCACCGAGCGCGTTGCTCTCTGTCGACATGTGATGGTTCCTTACGAAGCTATCATGTTACTATAATATCTGTTGCTGCTGGCTGTGCAAAGTCTAGTCCTTTCTATTGCTCCCCCACGCACAACTCGCGACAAGCAGAAGCTCAAATACAGACACTCCTGCTATTTCTTCAACGCCGCTATTGGTGCGTCTCCTCTCTATCCACCAAACACCAAGGATTCCACCAATCCCTGTCCACTCACGGGTTCCAGCATCGCCAATGGCAGGTTCCTCAAAAACACTTGGCACAGCTTCTTCGACTGGCCTGAGCCTTCATTTCCGCCTCCTCCCACACCACCGCCACCGCCGCCTTTCCCTCCCTTAGCCATACTGAAAGACGCCTCTACCGGTGACCGGTGAGATGTGTGTTGTGACCAGGCTTGGGTAGGAGGGTAGCGAGTAGGATGCGGCGTAACCCGCAATTTCGAATTACAGAACGCCTCCTGTCGTTGTTCCGTGTGGCGGGGATGCCGCGCAACGCCGGCAAGCTCTCGCAAGCCAAGAGGAGCACCGGGAAGCGCGCGAGAGCTTTGTGGTGGCACTTGGGTCGAGCAGCGGTTGTTGCTGGTGGTGCCCCATCACAGCTTTTCACTGCTCCAGACTCCGGCGTCTCACAATCATGATCTTTGCAGCGTTGATCGCCGGAGCTTTCGTAGTCGGCGGGACCGATGGCTTCGCCGCCTCGTCATCTTCATTCTCGGGGGGCAACATGCTCCACCACGCTCCTCGATCTTCCCAGGTAAGCCGCTGCTGTCCCGGCTGCTGCTGGGCTTCCAAGTACGTACTGGAATAGCTCTCCATCGCTGTTGCTGTTGTGAGTCTCGCTGTGCTATAGATGCACATGTCGCGGCATTTCTTTACAACAGCAACGCACCAACAGCAGTAGCATTCGCAGGTGATGCGGTCGACAGTCGACCATGTTCGAACGTTGGTTTGAACCATTTCCATCTCTTCCATTCGTCTCTGTCGTGGCTGCAGGCCCTCTCCATGGTTTCTACCCCCCCGACGCCATCCACCGCCAGCACTTCGAGCGCTCCACTGACACAAGACCAGTTCAATACCTACGTGCAGAACACGTACGGCAGGTATCCGCTTACTATCGTGCGAGGCGAAGGTTGCAAGCTCTTCGACTCCGACGGCAAGGTAAGGGTGGGTCCTACGTAATTTTTTCAAAAGTCGAACATCGAACATCGAACAAGCGGATAGTTAGATGTTCGACTTTTCTGGTCCGTTGTATATTGCGAAAAAGCGTGAAAAAAAATCCCACACACACACGTTTTTGCGTTCAACAGCCCGCGTTGTTGGACCACGCCCGGAAAACCCAAGGGCACTCGACTCTCGAAAAGATGCGAGTGTCGAGGAACAGGGACTGCGCCAGGAGGAGGAGCACAAGAAGCAGCCCCACCAGCAAAAACAGCACCGGTTGATAGTAGCTAGCGCTCGAAGCCGCGGGGTGGAACCCCGGCATCCCTTGCGGCCTGATGCCCACATGCATTGCCGCGGGACCCTGCCGACTCACACCAACACTGCTGCAGCTGTTTGGCTGTCCAGCAATGCTGTATGGTTGCGACGGGAAGGAACCCCCGTGTGATTAACCTCACACCTGGCCCCGTTTGTGCACGCGGGGCCCTGGGATCCAGCGCAAACTCGTCGTCGCTCTGTGCAGACATGGGTATTGCTGTTGCTGTCCTGCAAACCTCTCTGTCGTTCTCCCTCTCCCCGAGATTGTGTTTTTTGGTGGTGTGTGTTGGGTGCACGTGCGTGATGCATGCGTGCGGGTTTTCTTTTTTGTCGCCAATTCGGTCCCAATAGTCCACGGGACTGTAGGTTAGGTATAGGTTTTCGAGTTTTTGTGGAAAGATGTTAGAGTTTTAGGCGGAATCGCCCCTGGAAGATCCGGCGTACAAAAACTCGAAAACCCGAACATCTCTTTGGGCTGTTGGACCTTCCTGGCCAATCACATGATTACACCGCTNTGGTACCGAGTCATGCTGGAGAGGTGTACGCATGGATCGGTATCCGTGTGTGGATTTGTCGTGCTAAGTCTCTAAGTCTCTTCTCTTATCATTGACCAACTTGGACGTTGTGAGTCCAAAGCCTGCAGTGGCACTTAAACATGCACATTGGCAATCTCCCTGTTGTTTCAATGAGCAAATGCGTCTCACAATCCTCTGCCCAATCGCGGTGCGCTGCTCTGTCGGCCGTCTTTTCCTGATTTGTACATAGGAATACCTTGATTTCGTGGCGGGCATCTCGACGTGCGCTCTCGGGCATGCAGACCCTGACCTCGCGGCAGCGGTGGGAGATCAGATGAAGAAGTTTCATCACGTCAGCAATCTCTACTACATCCCTGAGCAGGTGCCGAAATGTTAATGTTTGACGGCCAGGTACTGCATACATGTACTACGCCCTATTTCTGCTTACAAGCGAAGACAGGAGGGCTGTTAATCGTAGTTGTGGGGTTTTCGATGAAGCCGTTGGTTGGACCAGCCAGAGGAGAACATTCGGGGCGAGGGAGAAGACGGATTTGGAGATTTTCCAGAGGGTTTCCTGGCACAATGAAGGAATGATGTGTTTTTGTCGCCGATCCGCTCATGCTTGCTCAGGTTGCTGCTCTTACGTTCCATACAGACCCGTATCTGCAATGGGGCTTGTGCATGTCAACAATGGTTTTGTAGTCTTGTCAAACTATATCCGATGTCGGCGTTGGTTCGGAGCAACCAATGCTCAAACAGCTTGACAGGAGAGACAAATGCACCGACGAACAATTCGCATTACCGTGCGTGTTGCGCCACATCGAGACAGGGCCAATTGGCCAAGTGGCTGGTGGACAACAGCTGCACAGACCGCGTGTTCTTCTGCAACTCCGGAGCCGAAGCTAACGAGGCAGGAATCAAGGTACAGTACTCACTTTTCCCTTTCAATGATTTTTTCTCTTCTCTCACGCCGGTATGGGGCGCTGCAATTTCCCACGCATGTGCTGTGCAAATGGTCAGCGACCGCAGTGCGACGGCATTTTTCCGTGTCCTCGATTTACTGTGCCATGCCTCCCGTTTGTGTTTGGTTTCAGAAGGACGGGTTGTCTGTGGTAACCGTTTTCACCTTCAAGGGTGCGGGTGCGGACGTCGATCCCTCCTATGGACTACTCTTCGCCACAAGCACAAAATACGTGGCGTGCAACAGACGCGATCGCTGCACTGCACCAAGCACTTCAGGGGCACCTTACTTGCATCATAACCCCTCTCCCCCCCACCCCCCGGTTGCATATCGCTAAATGTGGTGTCTTTTTTTGCTGCCTCGTATCGACGTTTTACCCTGAAGCTTGCCCGGAAACACGCCAACACCAAGCTGGGCATTGCCGAGCCGGTCATCGTTACCGCCAAGAAGTCTTTCCACGGCCGGACGCTGGCCACGATGACCGCCACGGGTCAGCCCAACTACCAGAAGAACTTCGGCCCGCTTGTACCAGGTCAGGCACCGTGGGTCCTACTGCCGTGGATGCTCAGGGCCGCTTTCCCCTGTTGTATGCATTGGCCCAGTCACCGCCAAGCGTCGCGGGTGGGTATGCGGTGGTACTGCAATGCTGTACACTTTTCGGGTTGGCGTAGGTATATTTTTGTGGTAAGCGCTGTGTAGCACGCAGCGCGGGTAGTAGGTGCCGCTGGTTGTCCTGCACCGTCTCGTGGTACTGCTGTATGGTACAATAGTATGCGTAAGTGGAGCCGTTTTCCGGTTGTCGCAAAAGAAATGCTTTGCTGGATGCGAAATCCTCGTGAGGGGCGGTGGGTTTCTCTTTTTTGTTGCCGCTCTCCTTCCGAAACGGCGCCATTGGTCGTGGCAAGCAGGTTTCGAGTACGCCACGTACAACGACCCGGAAGACCTGAAGCGAGTAGTCAAGCGCATCAACCGGCGGGGTAAGATCCGGTCACTCTTCGGCCGCCCCCGTCGGGCAGTCGCGGCGATCATGATGGAGGCGTTGCAGGTGAGAGGGGGGACACGAGTGGTACTGATTGCCTACGTGCTGGTGCTCACAGCAGTACAACACACTATTGGCTGACAGTGAGTATTCCAACAAGCTCATAGCATCTATATACAAACAGGCAACCAGCACGCCTTCGTCGGTCCAGGATCGACCGTGGGCAGTCAATGTGTACTCAGCAAAGAGTGCAGAAGCGTACCGTGGTGTGGCACCCTCACCTCAGTGTAGCTTCCCCCGGGGCGGCTGACAGCTGCCTTGGTCACCTACCGACGCCTGAACTCAACGGGTGATTTTGACCAGGTGGTGGCTAGACTATTGCATGGAACCACTGGCACTTTGAGCGAGAGATTCTCGTTTGGTTCACCGAAGCTTCAAGAGCGGAAGCACGAGGTGTTCGCCTCATTTTTAGCTATCCGTAAGTTCCTCCGTGGGTACCAAACACAGCAATCGAGTCCAAATTGTGCAAAAACTTCCGTCCTCCTGTTGATGAATGTCTTCTGGGTATTTGGTGTTAGGGAGAAGGAGGAGTGGTGCCGGCCACTCCGGAGTTTTTCTCG